ACTGGGGCAGGGACAGAGTCACTTAGATTTGATGCAGAGCACGGATTTTGTTTTTTAGTGAATGAACAAGTACTAAAAATTAACTAGTATTAACCAAAAAAAGATGATTGGATGAATAATTGTTTGGTCATTCACATTGAGAAAGATATATTTATTGGCATTGGCATCGTCAAAGAGCTTATTGTTCAAAGATTTCACAACAGTGAATCATTCTTTTTTCCCATGCTAGTTATAAATAAAGATCCATTTTAAAGTTGCTTCTATTGATAATATCTCAGAATCTTATCAAATGCCTAATATTAAACATGACTTGTTGTTTCGTTTGGATCAAGTTGAAATATTTCACTTTGCATGTGAATTATTAAAAAACTTTTGAAATGTTTCATTTATCATGTACTTGTTTCTTGTTAGATATTAACTTTTTAGTTGTTATCACCAGATCCATGTTTTCTGTGATAATATAAAGTTAGAACTAAGTTGCAATCTACCTCACTTCATCTTGTTTTGCTTTCTGGCTGCAGAATAGATGCTGAAGCCTTTAGTCTTAAGAAAAAGCTCACCGAGATAACAACTTCAGAGGGGCCTGTAAGCAAAGTTGATTATAAAGCTGCTGAGGAAACAACAGCAACGTTAGAGGTTTGTTTCTGTCATAACTTCCTCCATGAAACTTTTTTGTTGTGTCAATAATGAATTTTTGCTATGTGACTAGTGTAAAAATACATATATGGGAGAAGTTTATTTGAGTTAGCCTTCCTCTATGCCGTGGAATAAGATGTTTTACTAGTCAAAGTTGCTGCATGCATTCACACTTATTCTCATAATCATATTTTCAACCGTTATTTGAGGAATAGATGTCACTAGACTGTAAATTCCCGGGCTCTTTTGTGAATTCCATGGGAGATTTTAACTTCTCTCTCCATCACTCCTCACCCCTCAACAAAAACATAACATTTATCAAATGCAACTTTTTATCCTTTTAAATATTTTCTGTTTTGAATTTTGAAGCTTTACAGCAATTGATTATTAATTGAATCTGACAACCTGTGTTGCTTTCATACCTTTCTGCTTGAACTTCTTTAGTTTTACTTACCAACCATCATGCAAGTTTAGGCTTCAGAGATCCATCCTAAAGTAAATTCCAAGAACTAAATGTTTTGAACTGTGAGATCAATGTTTAGAAGAGAGTCAAGCATTGCAGCTGAGAGATTGATTGATATAATACAGATTTATTTATAATTATTTAATATATTTATATAGACCTTTCTGTGTTTAAGAATGGATTATAACCAACCAATCATTTTGCAGGCTTTGAAAATTGCCCTTGCTCAGATTAGAATCTGTTCCAGACTTGAAGCATTATTGCTGAAGAAAAAAAATTTAAGCAATGGAGACTCTCCTGAAATTCATTCTCAAAAGGTATGATTCTTTCCTTTACGAGTTTCTTTGGGAAGGGTAGAAGGAAGGAGAGGTTCAAATTATATTTCCTTGTATGAAAAAACTAATTTTTTGGACCAATTAAAATAAGAATGGTTTACCTCATGTCCACCAAAATAAAATTCAGTTACTCAAAAAATGGAGAGATATTGAGAAGGAAATTAGAATTTTTTTGTAACATTTCTATTTTTCACAATTACCCTTTTCTGGTTGTCAATTATAATAACACACTATTTTTCACAATAGAACTACTTGGTGCATAGTTTTGATTCAACTATTTTGAGCGAATATGAGATTGGTAGAACTTACATCTGGGGTTATTCAGTTTTGTTAATATTGTTAGTTTTATTGTAATGTTCTGAATGAATGTAATTCTGTTGTATGTCTATTATTTTGTCTTTATTTGTTGGTTAATACTATTTTCTATCCGTAGCAATACTTTTGTGTTTTTAAGTAGGTTGATAAGCTGAAGGTTTTAACGGAATCTCTTGCCAACTCTGCTGCAAAAGCTGAAAAGCGTATTTTAGATAACAGGTAGCCTGTCAAATTATGTACTTTTCTGTTATACTACTCTCAATTTTTTTGTAATCTGAATTCGTATTTTTATACTCACCAGAGGAAGAGTTTTTGTTGAAAGCATTATATTTAGCATTCTGATTAAAACATTAGATTTCTTTTTCAGTTTCTGATCAATAAATCAGTTTTATTTTAAAATGGGCCCAATATGCTAGCAGTATGCCTTTCTCTCCAGAAATTGTAGGGGTGGTGGTATCATTCATAACTCACTAGACATTATTTTACAATGTAGCATTTATATGCTTCTACAAATTCAGAGTTTTGTAAATCTGCTTTAGTTGCGGTCACTCCTAGCCCACCTTAGTTAGAGCTTATAAAGTTTAGGGTTTAGGTTCTGTTTGACCTTTTTTCCCTTCTGTTTCTGACAATAGATTGTAAATGATTTGGCTCTGCTAAAATCCTATTCTATTCCTGAGAAAAATTCCAGTAGGTCCACCAAGTATTCAAATTGACAAGATTATAAAAATATTTGGAATTTTTGTTGTTAGAAATTATTTTGCTATATGAGTTCGTGTCTGTTGGATTGTGCTGCTTGCATCTTTTGAGTCTATAGGGGTGAAACTGACCTGTGATTAACGGAGGCATAGTTGCCCCTCCACACTATTGAGAGAACCGGTCTGAAGAGGTTCCATTGTTTTGGCTCAAAATGATTGGCTTATTCTTGAAATTCAAAGATTGGTTGGTACCGACTGTTCTGTTCAATCATGTCTGTCGGTGGGCAATACAGATGACTACTGATTTTTTATTCTAAAGTGCAAGCAAAGGAGCCAATTTAATGAAATATTATTCAATACTTTGCTTCCGATAATGAGCACTAAAACATATTTCCTCTCTCTAATTTGATAGACTACAAAAAGAGGAGGCATTAAAAGTTCGAGTGACTAAAGATGGTGAAGCTAGTGAAAAGGAGAAGGTAATGTGTTCAACTAGGCATCATTATATTTATTGTCAATTATCACTAGTCTGTATTAGATGATAAATTTATTATATTTTTCAAATGGCATTTGTATTTCATGGTTGTCCTCTAGGATGTTTGTTGCTATGTATGTTAATCTTCCGATGTATTAAAATACTGTATGGACAATATGACCAACCCTTACAAGGGCATGTTTGGTTATTACCATCAGAAGTTGTTATATGTAGCTTCCTTTATCATCTTTATATTTTTGTTCTGTTATTGTAGTTTAGACAAGATGAAGTTTTCCAGAATGTGTTAATAATTTGCACTCATCACTTAGGTTTTATTTCTCATATTTGTTGTTTTTTATGCATTTATATATGATATTAATATAGAAGGTTTGATCACTGTGCAAGATACATAATATTGCTTTCAATTGGTTCACTGTTATTTGGGGGCAAAGTGGTTGATGTTCAATTTCTTTGTGCACATAGGAGCAAAGACCACGCTGAAATAATATACATCTGTCTGAGTACCAAGTCTTCCATCTGTTGTAGGGAGGCAATTGATTTTTCTTTCTCTCTTATTTTCAGGAACTGGCAGCTGAGATATCTGAACTGCAACGCAAAAAAGAAGATCTTGAAGCTGAATTGAAAAAGGTATCCACCATATTTGTTTGGGGGAAGGGGGAGAGTGGTCGTGTTGATAATAATATTTGCTCGAAGAAATAGGGTTATTTATTATTCGCTTCATTTTTACTACCATATGATGTGTCTTTTTGCAACCTAGTCTTCTTTTCTACATCCTTGTTGATAAAGCATTGATGTTATTTAAGATAACCTTGTATTGCCAGGTATCAACTTTTAACATATATAAGATTCTATAGACATGAAAGTTAAATTTTGTTCTTCCTGTCAACTGCTAATTTCCACAAATAGTTTATTTTATTGTCAAAATGACTCCTCACTTTAATAATCTTGGGATGCTGTTGGTTGAGCAGGTCGAGTGTTGAAATCTCTCTTAACTAAATTTTTAAATAATTCAACCTGGCTTCTGAGGTGTAGGTTAACACTACTTTGGCTGCTGCTCAAGCTCGACTATGGAATGTGAGGGAAGAGAGAGACCAGTTTGAGGAAGCAAACAATCAGATAGTTGAGCACCTGAAGATAAAGGTTTGAGGACCTATTTTTCCTTCCTGTGTATCATTAAATCAATGTTCCTAAATAGTGTTACTCTCAACATCCAGTTGTCTGAAATTTTGATTTGACCTTGATTGACAGGAAGTTGAACTTTCAAAATCAATTAGCTCATGTAGGGCCGAAGCTGATGTTATCAAAACCTGGATTAATTTTCTGGAAGATACTTGGGTTCTTCAGCGGTCAAATGCAGAAATTAATGACAAGCAGGTCAAGTATGTAATTGAACTTATGTAATGATTTATGTGTTGATGCTTATAGTAATATAGTCTAATTTGAGTAGCAAAAACTAAAGTTTAGAAGTGTGTGTTAGATTAGGTTGATGTCAAACTTTGAATATATTCAGAGTTGACAATATCCTTCAACCAGAAATCTAGAAATTATACTTATTCTGCCATTTTTCTTTTATTTTTCATGAATTTGTATTTTCACTAATCTTTATATTTTTAAAGTGATGAATTGGAGAGACATGAGGACTACTTTGTGAACTTGGCCATTCAACTTCTTACTGCTTACCAGGTACTTATTGCCCTTTGCTGATTCAAATAATGGATGTATAATGGCAGACTCCTTTTTCCTTCCCTCCATTTTTTTTCCCATTGATAGTATGAGTTGCTATATTGTGTGCAGAAAGAGTTAGAGCCTTGTATTAACCATATTGGAACATTTGTCACGAACCTCAAGAATTTAAGTCAGAGGTAATACCTTTTTTAGGAGCATTTGTTTGGAAATTTCTTTGAGAATACATATTTTCACAAAATCAACACACAAAAATTAAGATTTTTTTTCCCGAAAAATGAACAGGTAATGAGGTAATCAAATGTTTGGTATTTTCATTTATACTTAAAGCACCAGACTTTAATTTTAAAAATATACATGTGCGTGCCCATAAATCTATGGTTAGTTGTTTATCTACTCCAATTTTCTTGAGGATACAGGTTAGAAAAGACATCAAGTGCACATAGTGAGGATTCAGAAGTATTAAGTCCAAGGAGAAATCTCGAGGAGGAATATTTGAGCTATGAGGCCAAGGTATATATTCAATATTGATTAATTTGAATTTATTCTTTTTATGTTTTGGGTAATATTTTTTCTTGGATTGTGCAAGTGCTTGCTGTCCAGAATTTGATATTTGACTGAGCATAGTAGCATTATGTGATCCATGTAACTGACTTCATCTAGTGGAATAAGACTATTATTGCTATAGCTGCTGAAATGTATGCTTTGTCCATGAATCAAAGTAATGGAATAGTGCTATGATTTGATTGGATTTATTGATGGTTTTCTTTCACTGTTTCAGATTATTACCACCTTCAGTGTAGTGGATAACATGAAACAGCAGTTTTACGCTCAACACGGAAGAATTTCCAGGTTTTCTTTAGTAACTTGTGCTTTGTACAGTTGATTGATAAGTTCAAAATAAATATAATGTGCAAATCCAGCCGTAAATCATCGGAATTTTTCTAACTGGTTTTGACTAACACCTGATACAAACCATTTTGTTCTCTTCCTGTGAAGAACATTTTATTATTTACTGAAATGTAATAGGCTGTCATAAATTCCATTTCCTTGTACAGAAATTAGCATTTCCATAAGCACTCTTAAGAGAGAAAAAATGAATTTAGTTTTCCAAAAGCCAAAATTAGCTTATGCACAAGCTAATTTCAAGGTGCTCTCTCATATTAGTTTCTTTAAAATGTTTTTTAATTTGTTCATAAACTAATTTTAACTTATGAAAAAACTAATTTTATTTTTCCTTATTTCTTCTGCTAGAAGTACTTTGGAAAAGTTTATCCAAACAAACTTTTTTTATTTGTCGGTGCTTATTGGGCTCATGAATGCAGGAAAGATGAAGACAGAGTTAAAGAGCTGTTTGATGTCATTGAAAAGTTAAGAACTCAATTTGAGTCTATTGAGAGACCGATTCTAGAAATAGAGAGCCCTGCAAAGGTTGAAACACCGCCTCCTGAAAAGTCCGATGGTACTCCATCACTTTCTGTTCCAGCTCAAGGTGCGGAGCATTCAAAGCCAGAGACGGTTGAAAAGCCAAAATCACCTTCAGCTAAGGAGCCAAAATCACCTTCAGTTAAGGAGCCAAAATCACCTTCAGTTAAGGCAGACCAGATATTGGATCATGAAGCTGAATTAGCTAAGCTGGAATCCGAGTTTGGGAATGTTAGTCAGGATTATTCAGGAGAGGAAATTGGTGATTGGGAATTCGACGAGCTTGAAAGAGAATTGGCTTCTGGTGATTCAGCAAACAAGTAGTTAGGTCAATCTTATTTGAGTAATTAATGCTTGCTGTTGTATTTTTATAATGAAGCAAGTGCAAGTATCATAAATTTGTAAGCCATTGGTCGGCCGTTTATGAAGCTTCAATTTGGTTCAGATGCCTTTGAATTTGTAAACATTACGAAGCATAATATCTTTATTCTTCTGTAAATTAATGAGTTTGTTTGTAACACATCGCAGACCAGTCAACAAAAGATTCGAAATGTTCAGGGTGGTTGTAAATTTTGAACTCGGGATGATTTTGGTGCGCATAGATGAGACCGTAAGCCGAATTCTTGCTTGTTTAGATGATCAAGGAAGAAAAATAGGGAGGGAAGGAACAAGAAACAAATAAATATGAATAGAAGTAAAAGAAAGAGTTAAAAATAAATTAGCTAAAAATTTTAATTTCACTATTATTTTATATTAATTAAAAAAGTTTTGCTAAAAAAGTTAATCTTTTACTATATTTTTTAAGATAAAATCACGTATTTGTTGTAAAAAAAAATATTTTCAATATCTCTTTTTAGAATAAATAATGAAAATTTGGTATTTCTGTCTTTCTTCTATTCTTCTCTTATTTTTCCTCACCATTTATACTTGAATAAACAGGATTAATATACCCCAATATTGTTAATTTTGTCATAGTGATTCGTAAAACGATTCATGGATTTAGTATGGGTGGTATATTAATTTGATTGGGAAAGAAAGAAGACTATTGGTATAACAAGGAAATAGTAGTATTTTTGAATCTGATCCCTTGTGGCAACCAAAATTGTGAAAGTAGTTTTAAGTTTTAATTGATAGGTATGCAGACATAATACAAAAGACACTGCTTGACAACCTAACTTGGCGACAAATTGGGTATGAAAATAAGGTGGGCATGGACAGAAAGAAGGAAACATTTAGTGGTGTTTTCTGAGAAAAAAACAATCTCGAAGAAATTGCACATTTGGGGAAAAAAGAGGAAAAGTTAAGAGCTTATGTGACTAAAAAATGGAAAAGGGAAAGGGATGGTAAACCCAAAAGTAGGTAGGAGTGTGACAAACAAACTCTCGAGCTTTGCAGGCATTCCGGTCTTAGTCTCTTCTCCCACCACTATTTGTCGGTACTTTATTCAGTTACAACTTACAACACGCCTTCATTTTCCAAAATCAAATTAATAAACACCTAAGTGGATTAGTTAGCCATATACAAAGAAGACAGGAATAATCATAAATGAATGAAAAAGATGCCCATGTTTTGCATCCGTGTACACCAAAAGGTTTGGCAGGGCTTTTCTCGTGTGCAATTATGTTAAAACAAAGGCAGCAGTCCAATTAAAAGTGCAAGATTGTAACCTGTTCATGAGCTCAACTGTTTCTTAATCAATTGCCCCACGTATTCCCCTTTCCCTAATCATATTCATTTAAGTGCACAGCACAATCATAAGTACTAACATGAATTCCAATGTGCATGCCGTGACACATATATTGTTCACATACCAATTTGCTTGCATGGCAAATTCTTTAGTGTTACACAAGATTCCAAATTTCTTTCTTTTAAGGCGAGTCTATACCTTAGCCTATGTCTAGTTAGTAAGTAATCAAATCAATGGTTACCAATCATCATGTAATATTTTGCTTCTACCTTGCCATTGTACAAGACTACCTGAGCCTGTGAACCACATTGAGACACTGCAGTTTTTGGTCAATTTCTCTGCATTATTGATTCCACGAGGAAACAAAATAATGGAAATCATGTCATGCTAGTTACCATTAGCAGCACAAGAAATTTAAAAGCAGCAATCCCAATGAGAAATAAGCCACAAAGTTTATGTTGGGTGGGTCAGTGATTCCCCCCATAAGAAAATCAATCAGGTTTTAATTTTACACTTGGATGCTCGCAGACAAACTCCTTCAATAATGACAAGACATGAAATAAAAAATAAAAGGCAAAATAGATTAGAATACCACTAATTCCAGGATACTGCTTTTTGAATATGTCATTTTATGCTCTTTCAAAAGCAGTACTAGTACTAAACTTCACTTTCCATAATAAAAGCTCAGCGACCATTAGCTGCTATCTCCTCATAGGAAGAACTCCAAAATATACCATAGTTGTGTGTATACCTGAGAGGCTGAAATGGCTACAACATTCTCAGCATGTGACCCTGCAGATGATGATTACATTGACATGGAAGTCAACTCATACTCCAACTTCTTCTGCCACTCGCATCCACAGCCTAGAGAATTTGAGTTCCAAATGTCCTCCATTGTTCAAGAGAAAGAACCAACAACCTCTCCAGCTGATGAGCTTTTCTACAAAGGAAAGCTCCTCCCTCTCCACCTTCCCCCTAGGTTACAAATGGTTGAAAAACTCCTTCAAAACTCCACCTCTCCTTTTGACAAGGAAAATGACATCTTTGAAGAGTTCTATAGCACTCCACTAGCCACTACCTACACAACACCAATTGCTGGCACCCCCTTTGAATCCTGCAACATCTCTCCATCTGATTCTTGCCAAGTTAGTAGAGAACTAAGCCCTGAAGAGTATTACAACCTTGACTACCAACCAGATACAAGTGGATTTGTTGCTGAAAACCAGAAGAAGTCATGGACCAAGAAACTGAAACAGTCTTCACTAGGTTCAAAGTTGAAGGCCTCAAGGGCTTATCTCAAGTCTTGGTTTGGAAAATCTGGTTGCTCATATGAAACCTATGCAACCTCAACAAAAGTTGCGGATGAAGGATCAGTTTCCAAAGCTAGGGAAAATTTAAACAAGCATGTGCAAGTGGCAAAGAAAAATCCATATGGCCAAATTCATAGGGACAGATATCAGTCCTCCAATTCTGTCATGAGAAGCTACAAAGAAAAAACCAGTGAGGATGGAAGTAACCAGCACAGGAGATCATTCTCAGTTGGCATCAAATTGCTTTCAGGGAACAAGTCATCATCATCTTCATCTGTGTTTGGCTCAACTTCATTTTCATTTTCAAACAAATCATATGGATGCCAAGCGCGCCAGCTTCTGAAAAGGTGCAGCAGTGCAAATTCAGAGATAGAAAATTCAATCCAGGGAGCAATTGCACACTGCAAGAAGTCTCAGCAAATGTTCTCTTCAAAGAAGAATGTAAGTGAAGTAGGAGTCTACTCAATGTCTGCATCTAGAACCTCAGTTTGTGAGGATCATGAGAGAGTGGAACTTTGGAGGGGCTGATAGGGAGTTAAAAAGTAGTTTTACTTATGTTGGTCTTCTTCACACATTGTCTTTTCCAATTCAAAAGTAACTTTGGTGAAAGATAGCTTCATTCACCAGTACTAATTTTAGAAACAGTCATGGTTGTCATGGATATTTAGACCAAAGCATCAGAATCTGGTAGAATTTTTTTCTACAAAAGATATTTGCTTTTGGTCCTTAACCAAATTATGATGAGTACAAAATGAGATTCTTCTGAAAATAAAAACCAACACTGTACTACTATCCACTTTCCAAGCCAAAACCTTCCCCCAATATTTCAAGAATCAATTGTGGATTAAAACAAGCAACACACTGAAGTTTTCATTTTAATTTGTTTTCAAATTTTGATCTGTGTTAAAAAAAACTGATTTGGTTTTTCTGCTGCTTGTAAATCAAGTGTAACAATTAATCAACTGTAAATATATATAAAGCATTTTCGTATGGATCTTAAAATATAAGGAACAGTGAAGAGAAGAGTAGATTAAACGTCTAACTTCTATAGATATCTCATTGCTTCTGAATGCTGTCAACTAGAATGGTGACAATGCTGTACGCACTATAAATGTCTGATACTTGATACTAATGATTTGATTCTGTTCTGTATAATTCCTTTTATCAATCATGAAAAGAAATTATTAGTGCAGGCATAGTACAAACATAATGAGTGTAAGAGTAATGTGGACATCAGAACCCAATTGTTGAAGTGGAAAGCATAATAATATGTACAACTACTAAACTGAGAACAGATACATTACAAGATTTTCTGATGCGGAAAAATTCAACTTAGAAAACAAATGTGAAAATTAGAGGTATATACTAATGCAACATGTCAAAGAATACAAATTTCAGTTTTGTGTTCAAATGATGGAAAGAAATAAAGAACACCAATCTTTTCATGTCATGTGCCAATGAATTGTAATTGTTTACCTGTCATGTTTGATAATCTAATTTGCCATTAAATTTATGAGCAATCTTTAATGAATAAATAAATATGATTGCCATACTCTAATTTTTTTTTTGAATAAATAAATGTGTTTTAAAATACATGTATTTTAGGTCTATTCTAATTATCAAATATGGAGGGTAACAATAATGATGATTGTAGAAGCCCACCTGTCGTCGTCCCTTGGCAACTACTATAAGGCATTTATATGCCTTGAATTCCTCTATGAAGAAAATTTCTTGATCATTAAAGTAAGCTTAATAGAAAAAGCTTGTGAGAGCAAGTGAGAAAGAAAAGAAAAAGAAAGAAGAGTCATGGGGAAGTAAACTTGATACGTAAAAGAGAATGTTAAAATAATCAGATTTGAAATATAAAAAAATCCTTCAGTGCAGACAAAGTGATGAACAGCTTTTCAGGTGGTTCTATTCTGATTTCTTTAAGTTATCAGATGTTTGGTAACTTTGTAGCCAGAGAGCTTGTCATACATATAATATGGCAATATTTTGAATTTTAATAAGGCAACTGCTTTGAACTTTGATTTTCTTCTCAAGGAGGGGTCCTCATAATTTACCACATTTTAAAAGAGATGCTTGTTGTGTGTCAACGTCATTGGAAAACATATTTACCAAGCACAATAAGCTATTATGACCTATTAACATGGTGAAGTATAGTTAATAGTTCGATAACAGATAACATTTATTGAGAGAGGTTAACCTGTTAAACATAACAAAGCTATTATTATCATTTTTTTTTACTTGAAGGTTGTGATCACCAGCCAACATAATCATCTTGTGACATTACAACCATCTGATTGAGCACGCGTAAGCTCTTATGATTTTGTCTAAATATTCATTGAAGAAAGAGAGAGCTAGATAGATAACCTTAAAGGAGCAACTAGATAGGTTTTTCTATAAATAAGGGCATTGAAAAAAAGAACATGCTGTTATAATGGCGGGATTCAAGGAAGGATCGTATCCCTTGTGGATCTATTACCTTGCATTTTAGTTGCACATGATCAACTCTAACTATTGCACTAAGGTTTCCCTCCCATTGAGATAACCTTATATCATAGTAGCTAATTACACGCTACAGCTGAGTAGCAGCTGTTCTCAGTGTGTGCAGATCTTTTCTATTACTAAACATTTTCTGTAAGAGAGAATAGTAAATACACTTCTTCCAATTCTTAATATAAACAAAAAAAAATTCGATTCACACTAATTAAGAAGGCTAGTTTACATCATTTTATTTTGTTAGTCTTGTTAACAATAATTTATTTTCTTAAACTAATTTTGACTTTGAAAATACAATCACAATTAAATGAATAAGTATTTTAGAAATAGGAGCATTAAATAGGATTAAATTAGTTGTGATTTACTTATATTTGAGATCAATAATCATGAAGTTTTTATTGCTTATATTCAAAACAAGAGCGAGTAACTCTTATGCGTATATCTCCCTCCACCAAATAATTTTCAGGTGCACATTCGTTTTGAATAGCAGCCATTTTGTTCATAATAACGGTCAAAAAAACAACTATACTTGCATTGCTTAGGGTTTTTTTTTTGAGGAGGGGGCAGGGTTAAAATTCCACATTTTCTTATGCATATTTTGCTTCTGATATCCTTCTTCCTTTACCATTCCATAAAAGGTTACTTATCTTTTGTCTTCGGTCGGAATCTTCAGACTCTGCAAGATTTTTTCTTTTCATTTTTCTTCCTTTAAACTTTTCAATTCACATTCAGCTAATTTTCATCTAATTTATTATGTTCTTTTACTATTAATTTCATCATCATGTTTATTATTATTATTATTTTTTTATTATTTCATTACTATGTTCCTATTACTTGTAAATAAACGGTGATTATGTATGTAAACTGTTGAATTATTTATTTATAATGATTTTCTTTAATTTTAAGTTATTTATTTAAGATTTATGTGTAATATAAATTACTTAATTTGTATTATAATATTTAAAATAACCATTGTCCTATAGCAGGCAGTTATTGGAGATGGACAACTATGCCAGGCAGCACAATTTTGAACAGGTCAACAAGAAAACCTCATTATAAAATTTCAATTATATCCTTATCTTTAAATTGCAACCGTTCATTCTCTATCACAAATTTATCAACAAATAAAATTATTATAATTAATACGTATTACTATTTCATACTCTTTCAGCACTATGTACCATGTAATGTGTTCATTAGGCACTATATAGTACAGATTATCATAAATAAACAGGGATGACAGGAATATTTTGACAATACATCAATACATAAATTGATAATTAAAGTAATGTTCGACATTCTTCTTTAAAATCACAACCTGGGATTAAGATATAAGTGCTTACTTAGGCCCTGCACTGCACCATTTAACAGTTACAGTGATGATAGAGCCTTCATTCCAATTTGTCAAAATCTTACAACAACAGCAGCAGCAGCTAAGCCTAAGAGAATAATAATCTGTACAATGTTACACCATATGCCGCATTAGAGGTTCACAGTGAATTCCCTGTCATCTTTCTCACAATTTGTTCTTCATGATCCCTGAAGGTTGCAGGTTCAATCAAAGGGCATATATCCGATCAACCTCGGAATTGGAGAATTCAGAATGATGCCATGAGTTAGATCCACTCCTCCTGGCTAGCTGCTTCTCCTTCTTCCTCATTGATCTGCTTCTCTTGGACCTCACTACATAGTAAGTCATAGTGCCAAGAACGCCAGATATGATCACCCCTCCAACTAATGTAACAAGAATTGCGGCCCACTCATTCCTCCTACCCACAACTATGTAAGAAGAGGCAATGAATGCCACTGAAGTACAGACAGAAGCCAACCACATGAGCTTGTTGATCACCTCCACTACCCTTTTCTCTGCTTTAGTTTCACCTCTAACCAAAGTAATTTGAACAACCACAACAGCCAAAGATGTGAAAAGTGCAATAGCGTTAAATACAAAGAAGATTCTAAAAGCAGCATAAGTTGCTACTACTGCTGAGCCGTCATCATGATCCCCACCAGGCACGGTGAATATAGCAGCAAAAGCAACTGTAGCAAACAACACAGCCACCACTGTCACTGAGTTTGTTGCATTGTTAATTCCTTCCCTGTGGAGTTTCCTAAGCTCTTTGGAAATATTATGAACATTTTTGTTGGTTCTCTTGGTTTGTTCAAGTTGGGTGTGGACATCTTTCTTAATTTGAGTAACGGTCTTCCTCAGTTCGTCCCTTGGTTGGTTGAGCTCATTAGCTCTGAGTGCTCCATATCGAGAAAGACAGTCCTTTATATCTGATGCCTCTTCAGAGAGTGGAAGGTTTTCGGCAATGTCAAGAGCTGTTTTGTGGTCTCTGGTCAACGCATTAACATTGGTGTCTGGCAGATGTAATAACTCGGTCACTATCTGCACAGGAAGTAGAGAAACCATAGTATTAGATTTTTCACTTGAGGTAACTATAATGAATGCTTAAAAATATACAAGGGGTTTGCATGTATGTATATCCAGAAAAACTCCAAAAACAAAAAGGGCCACAACTTCTGGACAATTAAGTTAAATAGTACCAATCAAGCAGCTTTATTTACATATTTAGTAGCATATGATAATGTTACTGCAAATGTTAAATTATCCCTTAGGGTTGATTTTAAGCATTTAAAAATGGTAAGCTTTTATCAGGAAAGAAAGCATTATTACATTGGCATCATAAAAGTGTAAAAAATATTTTCTTTTTGAATAAAAAGTTACCACCTTTAGATGCTTAAAATCAGCCTTAAGGACTGATGTTAACAAAACAGCACTATTTTTGTTAGTACCCCAGGGGCAATACCACAAGACCTGGATATTCTACTACTATGGTAGGGATAGGGCACATTTAGCCATGTGTTGTGAGCCACATTAGTTCAAGTAACTTAATTTACATGGCCTCATCTACATATGTATAGTGCTTGTAATGATGTGCAATTGTTGACATACCTCTACTCGCTTTTTCCTGGTTGCAACATGTAGCGCTGTGTTACCAAATTTGTCAGGAAGCATAACAATAGCAGCATCCGCCTCAAGAAGCAATTTCACCACATCACAACTCTGCCCTTTTACTGCCATATGCAATGCAGTTTGTCCTTTCTTGTCGGTCCTGCGAGCCAACTGTGGATCTTTACTGAGTAAGGCTTTCACAATCTCCACATGACCCTGACGAGCCGCTAAATGCAACGCATTTTTGCCATTGGATCTAGCAATCTCCAACAAGCTACGGTCCTTTGACAGAAGCTCATTCACCACTTCTGTGTGCCCTCTCGTTGCCGCAGTTATAAGCGGCGTGGAATTGGACGGACCAATTGTTCTGCTCAATCCCGTGTCATAATCTAGCAAAACCTGAACAATGGCTGCAAACCAAAACTCACCATGAATCACAAGAATTACAGAAAAACAAACACATTAAATTACATCAACACACAAAAACATCACATCACACACCAACAATTTGAAGCCACTCATCACAATGAATTACCCAAAAGCTGTCAAGCTCTAACAATCAGAACCCAAACAAACCAGCCATTCAGTTGTAAGAGAAACAAAGATCATTCTTTCACTTCATAACATCCCTACGAATTTGGTTCCTTAAAGTAAGAAAAAATACCAACGGTTCTTTCACTTCATTATAGTAAGAAAAAATATGCATTCATAAACTTATTTGTAAATTTAGTTGCAAGAGAATTTCGTCCCTTCACCTCATTAAACTAAGAAAAAATAAAGTAAAAAACCGCTGTCATTGATGACTGAAAATTCCACACATTCATAATTTATTACACATGTGCATGAAATACTTAAAGGATAATAAAATAGGACAAAATGAATTGAGCTTCTCCCATAAACTAAAATAGGCACTTCATCTTTTAGATAAGTTATCCAAACAAAGTCTTACTTTATTACTCTAAAAATGAGTTGCTCACTTCACTGCAGTCAAAATTCCTTTCCCATGCGTTAAACTATAACATCATAACATAACATATCATTAAAAAATTCCTCATATAACTATGATCCTGGTCGAATAAACTTCCCAACAAACATACGTAAAAGAATATAAATAAAGTTTCTTTTATAAGCTAAAAATGAACATATACACAAGTTAAAATTAGCTTATTTTCTTCTTGAATGAGTACCTATTGATAAGATTATCCAAGCAGTCCTAAGTAAGTAACAAATGCAAGTCCACGACAAGTAGCATAAGTTAGATTTTTTGTTAGTCCATGGACTTAATCTAACGCAATATCTCTGAAAGTTGACAACCAAGTACTAATCTTAGTTCATGCATAGCATAAGCTAATTTTATATTTATGAGAGAAACTTAATTCATTTAGTCTTCCTATATTCTTCTCCGAAGAGTACTTAATAAGAAATTTATCAAAACACAACCATCCTATTTTCTTCTTCTTCTTCTTCATCTCATCCAAAGACAACCTCACGAACTAAAGTAACACAAACAATAGAAGAGAATCGAAATAGAAGCTATACGGTGGTGTCCTTGGCTAGCTGCAATATGCAAAGGATCAAAACCGGATCGGTTCTTTTTGGAAACAGTCTGAGCAGTGGAATGGTTAAGCAATTCCTTGACCACATCCAGGTGTCCCCTCTCAGCGGCGGTGAACAAGGCGGTCTCGCCGAGCTCGTTCTCTTCGTTGACGAGGCAAGCGCGCACCTCCGCAATCTCCGCGTTCAGATCGCCGCCGTCGTCGCCGCCGAGAGTGCCCATGATCTGAGAATCGACGTCCAGGAGGATCTGCCTGACGGCGCCCACGTCGCCCCTCTGCGCCGCCAGGTGGAGCTCCGTGTCGTTGTGCCGCCCCGTCACCTGCTTCACGTACTTCTTCTTCCCCGCCTGGTCCATGCGCTTCCCCGAGTTCGACAGCACCAGCGCCGGCGCCGTCGCTGACGACGGCGACGGCGACGGGGATATCTCCGACAGAGGGTTCTGGGCCGCCGGTGGGGGGTCCTCCACTCCGGTTCCTGGCACACGACGGAAAAGGGTCATCGAAAAATGAAAACTTTAGAAGGATGGATCGG